TTCAAAAACAAAAACAAACGAGAACTTCAAAAAAGGCAACACTGGATTTCTTTATAAGCAAGGTATGCTCTAAAACGTTATGCAAAAAAATAATCTGTATAACTGAGGTGGTCCATTTTAAACTGAATAAAACATTTTTATTGCACCCATAGTAGTTGAAAGTGTAGAACATGTTCAGTGACATTGTAATACGAATCTTGAATATTTCAATACACAGTTGGACATAATAACCGCTAGACCACTCGTGGCCCTGATGTTTATAGTACAGAATAACATGCTGTTTATAAAAGGAAGTTAGTAGCATGCTTATGGAAAGTTACTATCAGGAAAAGAAATGGGTTTTAGAAACTAGGTACACGCTCAGAAGGAGCAGTGGGATGATATGTATAAAAAAGCAAATAGAAAAGATAGGAGGTTCTTATTTTATATTCTATCTTGTCAATATCAGTAATTTGAGTTCCTAATTCATAAGAAACTTTAGACTTTATATTTCGATATCACAAACATATAATTTGAACCAATGCTACATTCAACATACCACGTGACACAAAAAATCAATATTTAGGTGTGTTCTTTTAATATTTACTTTTAAATTAAGAAATTAACTAATGTATAATACACAAATTTGAATTATAATCTACAATTTCATACCAAAGTTATTGACATAAACTTATAAAACAGTAATTCAATAAAATTTTGAATGCAAGTCAAGAAACGCGATGATATTCATCCCAACATCAAATTTACCATACAACACGAAAACAATAAACAGTTATCTTTTCTTAACCTCAACATTATTAGATCGCACACACAGCTTAAAACCAAAATTCACCGTAAGAACACACACACCGGCCTCTACATCCCCTGGAATTTCGCTCATGACACCACACAAAAAATCAATACACTGAAAAACTTCATAAACACAGCCACAAGACTCTGTTCAACGGACTACATAAATGAAGAAATTAACCACATAAAGCACTCATTTATTCACACCAATAAATTCCCACCAGCTATTATTGAAAAACTCTCCAATACTCACCACAACAAAACTCAACTCACGAACAAAATTGATACTAATGATTTGTTTGCTTGTAATTAAGCACAAAGCTACACAATGGGCTATCGGTACTCTGCCCACCACGGGTATCGAAACCCGGATTCTAGCGTTGTAAATCCGCAGACATACCGCTGTGCTACTGGGGGGCAATACTAACGAATCCAACAACAGAACATTACACTACAGTTTACCTTTTGTCCCTGAAACCAGTTCAAGAATAATCCACACTTGGAGAAAACTAGCCATTAAACACAAAATTCCCGTCAACGTCAAATTCTCTCAAAAACTCGGCCCTAAATTAAAATCGTTACTAAACAAAAATTATTTAGAATCACTCAATACCAACGTAATTTACAAAATAACATGCAATAACTGCCCAGAATTCTACATTGGAGAAACAGAAAAAAAATTGGAAACCATATTCACAGGACACAATAAAAAACCGTCCCATGTTTTCCACCATTGCAACTCAAAACACCATAGTATATCTATTAAAAACACAGTAAATCTAAATAAAGAACCTAA